TTTCTGCCACTGTCTCTGATGATGGATTCGAGTGAGAATCCGAAACGTCAGGCGAATAAGGCCCTTGTTCCAGCTATCGCTCTTTCTTCTTCTTCTTCTTCTTCTTCTTCTTCTTCTTCTTCTTCTGATCAAGTCAGTCCTTCTCAGGAGTTAGGGCCGGTCATCTTAGTGCAGCCCTTATGGCAGCCTCAGGAATATGGGGTACAAGTCGTCCTTACAGAAGTTCTGCAATTGCAGTGGGGACAAGCTCGTGCACGGTGCGCGTAGACGGAATATTTAACCAACCCATGATGCAAGAACTAATCATGAATTATGTTCGCGCCATTTGGCATTGAGATTTGACCTTGACAACCTTCTGTGCGTAAGGTTTCCTGAGTTCTGTCAGCTGTTTATTTAGAAAATCCGCATCAGTTTATTAGCTTTACACATTTTTTGGCCTTAAAGGCACCGAGAGCCTAATTATAAGTGAGGGAGAGGCCTAATCACATCCACCTCAAGGTTATGCACGCTCTAGTAGGATACTGACGCATTCATTTTGCCTGAACATGTCTCATGCTCTTCTGAACATGCTAACCAAGTAATGTAGGAGCCAACATTCAGACGAGGGTGTGTTAGCTAGTCTGACAAGATGTAAATAGGATGAGCCGTAGGCATAAAGTGAGCCAATAGGCATCGGAGGAACAGTGGTATTTATTGGTGTGTAGGTAGCCTTGGGAGGTGAAAAGGTCTGAAAGCATGTGTCAGGCCAGTATCAGCGAAACATGGCCCTCACAGTCTAGTAAGCGCTGGCAGTTCCCTGACACCTTGTCCTTTGCCGGTAGATGTGCATGCGATCCCGTTGGGTACACAGGTGGTTGGCATGGCTGCCCAATCATCATTCTCGTCCTTCTGACCCCTGTCGGGGTGTTGGTGAAAAATCCTGGTCAAGTGTCAGTTGTGGACCAGTGGATGCGGTGGCACGCCTAGGTGCGGGCCCTGCCGTGCCAGCCACCTGCGCCCTACTCCCGCCACCGGTCTTCTTGACTCTGTCTTGACACCGGGTCCAGGTGGGGGGAGGAGGAGAGAGTGCGGTAGATGCTGCGCAAGTCTGCTATGGTTAAAAACTAATTCACGGGCAAGTATCCGCGCCTGCTCTCACCTAATTGTGGAACACACGGTAAACATCGTAGGAAACGATTGTCGAACTGTCGGATCATTGGGTCCTCTCAACCGACGTGACCTCTCCATCGCCACTAAGATCCACGTGTACCGTGCATCTGTCCGGTCTGTCCTTCTCTACGGTTGTGAATGCTAGGCTTTGCGCGTGGAGGACGAGCCAAAACTGGAGGTATTTGACCACCACTGCTTGAGGACCATCCTTCGAGTGAAGTTTACCGACTTCGTCTCAAATGAGACAGCCCACGCTCGCTGCGACAACATCGCAAGGATAACTCAGGCCAGCCAAGAACGACGATTGAGGTGGTTCGGACATGTTCTTCGTCGTCAACCTCAGGAGCTCGGTGTGCTGCTGTCTTCGATCCGACACCGTTGTCCCATTGGAGGCGTAAAAGAGGGGGTCAGTTCAAAACCTGGCTCGACACAGTTCGTCAAGACATGGAGGTGGTTCTTGGACCTTCGGTATTCGGTCTCCGTCGTTGGCGAATGGAATGGACTGAGCTGTCCAGATATGCTGCCGCGCATCGTCACGCGTGGAAAGGTGCTGTTCGGGACATCATCGAGGCCGGCTAGATCAGGCATGAACGCAGCCGTATCAAGTACAAGTAAGTCCTCCCAACCTCATATCTGCCAATCTGTCAGCCAAACCGGTTAATCTGATGGCACAGTAAGCCCACATTTATTGTTCCACATGAAAGATGGCAATTGACCGAGCGTGGAGTAATGGAGGCGGATCGAAAATTAAGCCCACAACCACCGTTTTTAGTAACCTACTGCAAGCATGATCTTCGCCGCCACAAGACCACAATAAGATAAAACGATAAGGTCACTAACGAGCATTACGCGAAAAGCCTGCTTGCCGTGACATTTTCGGCGCCCAAAGGCCTTACCTGCACTGGACGCATCGTTTGTGGAGGCGGAGAGGGCAGCGCCCTCCCGTTGGCGGAGAACAAACAATTCTGTTCCTGAATTAGTAACTGGTGCGGTTTTTGCGGACAGTTGGCGCGAGCAGCCGGACCTCCTCACTGACCTCGCTCAACAAGTGAAATGTAGGAAACGGCACTCAATGTACAGCGAGTGAACGATCTCATGAAATGTTGGCTGAAATTCTGAAATGCGTTTTCGATTAGGAGGGATTACTTGGTCGCGGTTGTAATACTGACTATCCTAAGGCATACTCTTATAACATTTCGGATTTGGCGGGATGTCGGCTTTTAAATGCACTTCTTCTCAATCTCCTGTGGAAAGCGTGCTTGGTAAAAAATGACTACTTAAGTGTCATGCATTTTTCCCATTGATTTTCGATGGTCTTGCAAATTCAACTATATTTTATAGAAAACATTAACAAAATATGCTTTCTTTTAGTCAATCAATAGAGAATTACGTCTTCTTTATATTTTATACTTAAGGAAGGAGTATAATTAGGTTTTAAAAAAGTTTCTAATTATGAGAGTTTTTGAGACCGCGAAATGTCCATTCACATAGCATCGTACCTAGCCGTTTACCACTGCTCCTCAAAAATGTATAACATGGTCCGCGTCCATTGCAAAATTTTATGGACTCTGTATGATATCTCTTTAATGGCATAGAAAAATATGTTATTTTCTTTACGCGGAACGCATGCACCTCATAGAATGAAATCACTAAGCGCTAATGCAACGAATGATCAGGCTCCAAATTATTCGGCAATTAGAAAACTTTTTTAAAGCCTTATTATACTTCTTCCTTAAGTATAAAATATAAAGAAGACGTGATTCTCTATTGATTGACTAAAAGAAAGCATATATTTGTTTATGGTTTCTATAAAATATAGTTGAATTTGCAAGACCATCGAAAATCAATGGGAAAAATGCATGCTACATAAGTAGTCATTTTTTAATGAGTACGCTTTCTATGGGAGATTGAAAAGAAGTGCATTTAAAAGCCGACATCCTGCCAAATCCGAAATGTTATAAGAGTATGCCTTAGGATGATCAGTATTACAACTGTGACCAAGTAATCCTTCGTAATCGAAAACGCATTTCAGAATTCAAGCCAACATTTCATGAGATCGGTCACTCACTGTAGGAAACGGCACCCAATGTGAGTTCTTTCGATATTCTCATTTGAGCAACAGTTTTCGCATAACTTCTCCCTCTCTATGTTTCGGTGCTCCCCATGGGAAGTTTTTGACTACTGTGCATCTGATGCCAGGCTGAAGTGGCTAACTACTCCGCCAAACAAATGTCAAGGATGGGAGTAGAAATCAGCAATCGATTGCCTGTCTGCTATTCTATCGCGCATATTCCCACGGATGTAACGATGGTAAGATATGATTATTCAGCGGCACCTGATGGGCACAATACTGTTGGGATTAGGGTTAGGGGTCAGGGCAAATATTTCTTAGTCATTCAAAGCACAACCGCGCAATTCCAACAGATGTTATTTTGCATACAATTACTTCACCTCGTCGCTTGTGTGTTCTGGGCCCCACCAGTAAAAACCCCCATTACCACCGGTCCCGTATTACAATTGGCTGGGGTTTGCCAATAGAAGCGAAGTGCCGAGTCCCAGGAAGTAGTCTTGAAGAAGGAGACACGATCGCCGGGGCAAGAGCTTTATTAGCCTGACGTTTCGGATTCCTACTCGAATCCATCATCAGAGACAAAAGAGCAGAAACGGGTGGTTGTTGCACAAGGGGCTGCGGTATTTATAGGATGCAGTAGCCATGCTACGCATACCTATGGACGTTCACGGCTCCCCCCTTCATCCGGGATTGTAACACTTGGTGTGATCATTGCTTGATGGCCGATATTCGAGTCGATAATTGCTGCAATCTCATCACGTGCGTTGGATGTTGGCGTGATGATTGCTCGACCATCTGACGCGTCGACCCGGTTGTTGGGAAGAGTATTCACCAGTGCGCTCCCCGCGTGGCCAATACCTCCGCCTAGACGAAGTCTCAGCACGCTGTATTGAATGGGAAGATCGTTGCACTTGTTGATGGACTGGGGGCCAGTAAACCATGATTCCAGTAGCTCCCGGCTCACTCGGTTGTCACCTCTTGCGAGAATTTCGGCCTCATCTAATTTAAATGTGTGGCCGGATCTCGTCGAATGAGCTGCAACTTGAGAGCTGGTGTCATTTCTACGCACCGCTGCCGCGTGTTCGGCCATTCTCGTTCGGAGCTGTCTTCCGGTTTCTCCGACGTAGTTGCTTTGTCCGCAACTGCACCAGATCCGATAAACGACTCCAGACGTTTCTAGCCGTGGCAGTGGGTCTTTCGGTTTCATGATCAGACGCCTGATGGTTACCTCCGGTCTGTGTGCCACTCCAACCCCAAGTGGTGCGAGAAGGCGGCCGACAGCTTCCGAAACGTTCTTGACATACGGAAGTGCCCGCCAAGATTTGGTGTCCGTGCGGTTAGGCCTTTCGTTCCTTTTGCGTATGCACCGGTCGACGAGGTTGCGCGGGTAGCCATTGGCTTTGAAGACCCGTCGGAGGTATTGTAGTTCGGCAATTTTGTCTTCCGGCTCACTGCAGTGCGTTTCGACACGCCGATAGAGCGTCCTTACACAACTGCGTTTGTGGCTGATTGGGTGGTTACTGTTAAAGTGCGGTACGTGCATCGTATTTGTCGCTTTCCTGAACACTTTGGTCTTTAGTCCACCACAATCCTTGCGGCATACGAGGACATCCAGGAAGGCCAGCTGGTTGTTCTCTTCCTCCTCCATCGTAAATTGAATGTCCGGGAAGACGGCGTTGAGATGTTCTTGGAATGTCAACACCTGATCCCGTTCGATGACGACGAAGGTATCATCCACATACCGGGCCCAGAATTTCGGTCTGTGGTGTTGGAAGACCAGCTACTCTAACCGTTGCAGGACCGCCTCGGCGATATATCCCGAAATCGGCGAACCCATTGGTGTGCCCTTCACCTGTTCGTAGATTGTCCCGTCGAACGTGAAGTACGTCCTGAGACAGAGCTTCAGGAGCTGAAGGATTTGGGCGCGTCCAAGACGGTTCTCCGTTTCATCGTATTTGCTTTGTAGTAGCAGTTCAATTGTCTCGATCGCCAGGTCCTGGGGAATAGAAGTAAAAAGGGATGTAACATCAAAAGATACTATGACCTCATTTGGATGGATGATTACCCCTTGGAGTTTCTCCAGGAATTGTGCTGACGAAGAGACCGTGGTGTCTGACTCAGCGGTCAGGAACTTGAGACGCCGGAACAGCCACTTAGCCAGTCCGTACGTTGGAGTACCTTTGAGCGACACGATGGGTCGGAGAGGAGCGCCGTCTTTATGCACCTTAGGGAGGCCATAGAATCGGGCCAAAGCCGTATCTTGGGGTCTCGCCATGCGTCTGTCGGTCGGTGTTATTGCACCTGAGTTCTTTAAGGCCAACAACATAGCATTAATTTCGCATGTCAGCGCTTTTACAGGGTTCGTTGCACATGGGACATAGAACTGTCGGTCCTCCAGTAAACCTTTGGCTTTTTGAAGGTAGTCTGTCCTGTCCAGTACAACTGTGGTGCGTCATTTGTCCGCAGGCACGATGACCAGGTCTTTGTCGGCCTTGAGTTCTCTAAGCGCATCACGTTCGACCTTGGAAAGCACTTCCCGCGGCCTGTGGGCCATCAGGAGAGACGACACTTGGTGTCGGATGAGGTTCTTAGTCTCCTCCGTTGCCTCCGTCTGACAAAGGATTGATTCCACTGCTGCAATCATGTTAACAGGTTTGGCGTCAGCCGTGTTAAATGAAGTTTCGTGCCGTAAAACCTGCATCTGATCCTTCGTCAGCTCCTTTGATGACAGGTTGTGCACCCGTTTGCCGTTTCTGGGCGACGTTGGATTGGGCAGCCTTCGAAATTTGTTCTCCAGTGCTGCGTCACGTATCGTGCTCTGTTCGCGGGCTTGTTCAGCGATCCTCCGCAGGAGCAGATTCGTACCGATTTCACCCATGAACTCACAGCATCTGGTCTTTTCTTGGCCAATCCTTTGACGGTACTTACGAAGTCTCGCGTGGCAATCTTGGAGGAGCACTCGGATCATCCTTCTGCCGTGCTGAAATACTGTTCGTCTCGCCAAATCCATGTTAACCGGTGACTTGTATGAAACACATTTCGGTAACACATTATTGTCGAGGCACCTGTTTACCTAAGATGCGGCTACATGACCATATCTGACCCTAACGATGTCTAGATTACAAGGATGGCTTCAAAAGGCAAGTTTGACGTCCAACGTAAAGTATAATGCCCATTTGGCTGCTTCGGATTTACCTGTCTCTGGAAATATTAACCAAAAGTCTGAAATATGTTTTCGCCTAAAAAGGATTAACTAGGGGGGATTGTCATATTTACTACCATGCAGCATATATTCAGGAAATTTCTTTCAAGTTTGCTCTTTTGAAAAGGACTATTTTCTTAACATGAGTTTTCCTATTTATTTTGGGTACCCTTATAACTTATGGTGTATTTTATATAAAAATGTATGGAAAATTTTTCCATGTGCCTATTTGGTAGCAAATTACTTACTCTCCAAGGCCTGCGCTTGAGAAAAGAGTATGTTTCGGCTTACAAAATATTTTCAATCCCCGAACAGAAAATTTCTCCGATTCTCTGCGCTATTAAGGAGACGATAAGCAGAGCTAATAAAATTCTGCCATGCATGTGAACCGTGTTATATATTTCATAAGTATCTCTAACAACCAATTGATATAAAGCTATTTGAACAGATATTTAACAGTCTTCCAAAATTCTTATTCATACAAACTCTTAAGCTCAAAGATGGCCATTAAATAAATGTAAAATTTAAAAAAGGAATATTTTTAACCGCGTTTTCTGCAAAACGCAGTGACATCAAAAATCAATGGAAAAAACCGATACTACTTGGATGGCACGATTTTTGTTAACCGGCATTTTGATGTGACTGAAATATCTTAAGACTATACTGCATAACAACCAATACTACAACTAAGTAATCTTTGCTAACGGATATCATAGTCCGGAATTTCGGTTAAGTCATCCAGTGCAGAGCTGTTAATTGTAGAACGAAGCCTAAAGCAATGCAGAACAACGAAAATAGTGCCCATTAGAAGAAAGGCATGCGTTTTTTCGTCGCGGCAAATCCATCACTATCAATTTTCGGGGTCCGATAAACCCAGCCATAAGCTTAATTCTCTACCAAAACTTCGCCTTGGCAAAGAAGATGTAATAAGTGGATTTTTCTCAGCATAATACCACATTAGAGCACTTTTGAGGCCGAAACCTGCGAGGTTTTCCAACCGACCTTCACAGGCTTTCGTTGTGGAAGCTCCTTTTTGTGTCAGCGATGAGGATGTGCTTGGTGAGTTTATAAATATGACCCAAAACGTCATTTTCATAAATACATGTTGAAGAACTCACCAATTTAGCAAATGCCCCCAAGACAGCTTTGGCAGTTTGATAGACACAAACCGTAGGACCAATTTTTCCGGACAGTTGATTAAGAACACTGAGAACCTCAAAGTACCCGACAGTTCGACCCTTGTGACCGATGATATCGACCGTGTACTCAACAATACGGTGAGAGCAGGTAAAGCACACTTGTGCAGCATCTGCCGCACCCTCTCTTTCCCACTCCCCACCTGGACCGGGTGTCAAGACAGAGCCAAGAAGACAGGAGGCGTGGGAGGGCGCAGGTCCACACATCAAATGACCAGGTTTTTGACCAACAACAAAAGGATAGCTGGCACGGCGGAAACCGCACCCAGGCGTGCCGTCACACCTGGCTCGGATCCCATGAAGTGGGAGTGCCATGAAGGTCACATTGAGAAGGGGCCATTGCTTCCTGACTCTTAGACCACCAGTCGGCCGCTCCACACAAACACTCAACACTGAGTCGACGGCCAGGTCTAAGTTATCCCTTTAGTCCTCAACCTTCCAAGCCATGGTTTCTAGCCTACCGTAATAGCTTCAAGCGCGTCAGATTGTTTATAGTTAGGAAAATTCGCTGAGTCGTCGACCACAGTCTCCCTTGCCAGTCACTGTCCGAACTGGTCAGTTGAAAGGTGAGGGGAATGGGCGCGGTTGCTGACATATCTTGTGTGCTTGTCTGTGGGCACCACATGCACGACCTGCCCTCTCAAACATAAGCACCAGGATTTCACACAACGGGCGTATACCTCACATGCGTGAGTGCCGTAGGTCACGTTAAGGAGCCGTTTTGGCGTGGATATCAGCCCACCAGTCCACAAATTCGCACATGGTCACAACTGGGCAGAATGCGTGAACTGAGTTGGACTATCAGTCGGCAGCCTTCTAAACCACAGGGCTTGACGCGCCATGATAGTCTCAGACCAATTTTTCGGAAAAACCGGAAGACTACTCCGGACGCTTATGGCCGAGCACGCAGCAGCAGTGAGGAGGGAAGACGCTAGCTCCCAAGTCGCGGTTCACTCTACGGAAACCAACCACACATTCAAGTCTGACGAAGTAGAAATTCTTGCTAGAGGTGACAACCGCCTGAGCCGCAAGCTTCTCGTGTCATGGTTTTCCTCAGTCCTCAGTCAATCAACAAGCGCAATGACCTCTCCTCTCCATATTGGGCGCTGAGACTTCGTCTAGGCAAAACAGTTAGTCGGGAGGAGAGCAAGCGGATGGCCAGCGTTCCTGGTGGCAAGATCGGCGAGCCAAATTGCCCGAGAGCCCACACGGATGACGAAATCCAGCCGTCAGCAACTCGACTGCGTGCGATGAGCGTGGGAATCGATAATCTCGACCGGCACACAAGAGCATGGCAACTGCATGCTTCAGCACCTGGCCAATCGAGCCATGATGCACTCAGGAGCTGCCCACTGCGATAGGCATGTAGCGGCCTAGCAACTACATCCTATAAGTACTGCAACACTTGGGCAATTTGCCACCCTTATCTGACTGTCTCTGATGATGGATTCGAGGATCCGAAACGTCAGGCTAATAAAGCTCTTGCTTCAGCGATCGGGTCTCCTTCTTCGCAATTTTTCGGACAGTCGATTAAGAAAAGTAACGACAGCAAAGCACCCATCGATATATCAAAAACACCCTGTATTTCGGCGAACGTCCCCATCGCCAAAAACTACGCAATGGGTTTGTTACACAGAAAACGGCTTGTTAAGCTTCGCATCTGGTAAGCCTGTTCAAATGTCTTGGTCACTGGGCGACCTCTCAGCATATGACCTTATGAGAACTCGTCTGCCCTTGATGTCTCTAACAGCGATATCCTATTCGATCTGTTTAAGCGCATCTTGAGCAGCAGGGATTCAGAAAATTTCCATCGTATTATTGTAGGCAGTTCGAGAATCTCTAACCAAGCATTACGCACCTAACTCTGCGCTGCGACAGTTTGACTGTCTCATCCGACGGTGTTCACCGTGAAGCAAGCACGACGGCTTGCGCAGCATCTATCGCACTCCCTCCTCCCCCCATCTGGGTCCGGTGTCAAGACCGGGGGCGGGGAGGGCGCAGGCGGACGGCATAGTTCAGCCCGCACCTTGGCGCTCCACTCCATACCACCTGGTCCACACAATAATTGACCAGGATTCTAACTAACAACAATAACGCAACGACGGGTGAGAAAGACGAGGATGACTGGGCAGTCATGCTCGCGACCTGTATACCCAGCGAGAGCGCAAACGCATCTACTAATGGGCGGTAGTTAGCAATTTGTTGGATACAATCGAGGTCTCTCATTGGAGTTTATTTGTTAACTTAGGCTTATTTCACCAGTTAAGCCACTTAATGCAAAGTGTGCAAGCTTATTTTCTTCGTGGCAGCGCACGCTATAAAGCCGCATAGTGACGTTAACCGGCAAGACATGGTACAAGAGTTAATCCAACTGACATTTCGATGCCAAACCATTTAGGAATTGATAGGAAACGCAAAGTTGAGAAATGAGCTCGTTAATGAGATTTGATTTTTGAAGGGGCGTCAAAAAATATACACTGACCCCTAATGCACAAAGGTGGACCCCGTCAGTGTGAACTTAACCAATCAAGACAGGGGACTTCGTCTCTTAAGGGAGGAATATTACACACTCCAATCCGCAACCAAGGCACTGTTGTTTCGAGTTATTTTCGTGACAACTAACTTTAATCAGACAACGAGTCTGTCGCTCCAGGTGTTCTACACTTCGGAATGAGATATGTACGGCTGACGACGGCTAATAAGCCAGAAATGGCCATTCCAGTCTTCATTGTCCTTGTCGGTCATGTTACTCTGTCTAAAGTCTGTTACTTTCAATTCCAGCTCGTCAAGCCATCTGAAAGCGTCCGCCCCATCTCCTATGTTAGCATCAAGCCAACACAGGCATCGTGGGAATAAGGCTTAGGAGTATTCGCGAACGAGACAGGGTCGTCGTAACAAGAGCTCTATTCGCCTGACGTCTCGTATTCACGCTCAAATTCACCGGCAGAGATATAATCAGATATAAATAATGAGTTGTGCGGGTGTTGCAGTATTTGTAGGATTCAGCTGCTACGCCACTGCATCCTGTTTCTGATGATGGGTTCAAGTACGGATCCAAAACTTCAGGCGAATGGAGCTCTCTTTCTATCGATCGTGTCTCCTTCTTCGCGACTACCTCCTGGAAATCCCGACTTCGCTTCGATCGGGTCAGAAGGATTCCCCATTAATCAAGTACGAGCGCTTTAACCAGATGGAAGACAAATAGAACTCATGGACTGATTTCTGGCGTGACAGCATAAGAAAAGTGGAATGAAAAGGGGACTTTCTAGATCACCATATACCAATATACCAGTAAAAAGATGCGGACAAAGAAAGTTAAAAAAGGCTACTACAGGGGATCACAAAGGTGGAAAAAAGTTCAAAAAATCGAATGAAGACTAGAAAGAAAAAATTCGATCCTAGCGGTCCTTTGAGGATTCGGAGATGTCTGGGACACCCCAATCGATGCGCCATTCGTCAGCATCGAATTGCACCACATCC